ATCCCTATCCATTCAAACATAGAAGCCGTCGCAATATCAATCACACTCGAAACAAAAACCACCCTCTGTAATATCTACATCCCAAATCAATTCAACTTCACACTCATAGATTTAGAAAATATTATCAAACAATTACCACGTCCCTTTATTATTGTCGGGGACTTTAACAGCCACAGTATTACATGGGGTTCATATAAAACCGATTCAAGAGGAAAAATAATAGAAAAATTATTGGAACAAGATAACATCGTAATACTTAATAACAACGAGCAAACTAGAATAAATCCCTCGAACAGAAACCTTTCAGCTATCGATTTAACGTTCTCTACACCTACCATAGCACAAAGATTACACTGGCAAGTATTAAATGAAATATACAATAGTGACCATCTCCCAATCTCTATACAATTCATTTCCAATGCACTTCAAACAAACTACTCTACAACAAAATGGAACCTCAAAAACCCTGACTGGCCTCTATTCGCAAACCTTCTGGAAACAAAAATCAACGCGTCAGAATTCACGGATGAAGATATAGATATCGAAAAAACAGTATCCAAATTCACTGAAATCATCATAGAGACTGCAGAACAAACAATAGGCTACTTGAAACCCCCCTCCAAAAAAACACCGGTTCCGTGGTGGAACAATGAAATTAAACAATATATATCACAAAAAAATAAAGCACTGAAAACATTTATAAAAACCAGATCACTCGAGGACCATATAAAACTAAAAGAACTCAGAGCAAAAACAAGATTCTTGGTCAAAAGTAATAAAACTCTAACATGGCGAAACTTCACCTCCGAAATAGGTGCCCAGGTTGATCCCCACATTATGTGGAACAAAATCCGTTCATTACAGGGACGGAAAAAGCACAGTAATATCTATCTCTCCACAAACTCATCTTTAAACACCGATCCATCTTCAATTGCCCACCACCTTGGAAAATATTTCGAAAAAAACTCCAGCAATGAAATGTACAGCCACGACTTCTTAAGGGAAAACGAAAACATACCATCACCTCAACCCTCCGTAATATCGCCCCAAAATACTAATCAGTCTTACTTAAACAGCCCTATAACAATTAATGAAGTTTTGAAAACTCTCAAAAAATGTACCAGCAAAAGTACCGGACCAGACAATATCCCTTATAGCTTTATTCAAAACTTTACAATCGACACACTTAAAATACTCCTAAAAATATACAATACCATCTGGAACAACAACGTATTTCCACAAAATTGGAGAAACAGTATCATCATACCGATAAGCAAACCAGGAAAAAACAAATTCTCAACTGATGGCTACCGACCCATTTCACTTTTAAATACCTTGTGTAAACTCCTAGAGAAAATTGTAAACCAACGTTTAATATGGTTTTTAGAACAGTCTTATTATCTCACCCCCGAACAATGCGGGTTCCGGAAAAATAAAGGTACATATAACTGCCTTTCCAAAATTCACGCAGAAATACAAAACACATACTCCGAAAATCAATACTTAGGTATGATCAGTCTCGATTTGATGAAAGCCTACGATACAACATGGAAACCGCACATTTTAAACAGTCTCACTAAAGTACTAAGCCAAAACCAAATGTTCAATTTTATTAGTAACTTTCTTAAAACAAGAACATTTCAAGTAAGAATCAACCAAACTCTATCCAAGACTTTCTCACAGGCTAACGGAGTCCCTCAAGGATCTTCAATTTCGGTTACGCTCTTCCTCATAGCCATCAACAATATCACACAGAACATTTCTCCACCTGTCCATTCTACACTCTTCGCGGATGACTTTAATATTTACTGCCGAAGCAAGAACTTAGCAACCGTCCAAACCCACCTACAACAAGCCATCAACAATCTGCTTAAATGGACCCATACATCTGGCTTCACTTTCTCTCCTGAAAAATCACAATGCACTGTGTTTACACGTAGGCGCAATCAAAACGCTATAAACATAAAAATGGGTGAATACCAACTAATAAATAATAATACAATTAAAATCCTCGGCATCATATTCGACAGAAAATGTTCCTGGACCCACCACATCAACTCCTTGAAAAACTCAATTTCTCCACGTCTCAATGTTATAAAAATGTTATCCCACACATCATGGGGTTCTAAAACTCATGTTCTATTAACAATATACAAGTCACTTATACTTTCTAAATTCGATTACGGATCCTTCATTTGGACAACGGCACATAAATCAATATCAAAGAAACTAGATACAATCCACAACTCAGGTCTCCGTATGTCAATCGGCGCTTATCGTTCAAGTCCAATTCCTAGTATCTATAATCTTGCCTGCACACAACCTCTAGACATAAGAAGACTCAAAATTACATTGAATCACGAATTAAAATTAGCAAGTACCCTTCCTACTCTTGACTTCAAACCAATATTTCAAATGTTACCATCATTACTCCAGGAGAACAACCTTGATACTTCCAAAATACTCACTATTACTCCCTCTCTCACCCCCCAATGGAAAAATCTCATTGAAACCAACACTGAACTTTCTATATTCAAAAAAGACGACACACCCCCTTCCATCTACAAAAAAGAATATTTCCACATAATTCAAAACATCACAAGTGAAAAAATGTATACAGATGCATCCAAAAGCCAAGACGGGGTTGGCGCTGCAGTAATCTGGAATAATTCGGAACTCATGTATAAACTTCCTAGCACTTGCTCAGTTTTCACAGCAGAGTCAATCGCCATATTAAAAGCACTCGACATAATAACCGATCATCACCTACAAGACACCATTATCTTCACTGACTCCCTCAGCGCTATCAACAATATTAAAAACACATATAACCCATCAGACATCGGCCTACATATTCAGAATAAAATCCACACTTTACAATACCATAATAATTTCAAAATCAAACTCTTCTGGATCCCCGGACATTCGAGCATAAAAGAAAACGAACTAGCTGATCTCGCCGCCAAATCTGCAATCTCCTCTCCACTATCAACGTCCTCACAAATAATCTCTTCCAGCGACATACGATCACTTATAACAAAGAAATGTCAACAAACATGGCATCAGAGGTGGACTTCTTATTACACAAAATTAAATCGTATAAAACACAACACCGTCAATTGGACATTTCCTATCGAAATCCACAGAAAATTCGAAGTCATAATAACCAGACTCAGAATTGGACATACGAAAATCTCTCACAGTTTCCTAATGGCCAAGGAAGAACCACCCATGTGCCCATCCTGTGGTGTCCAAGTCACCATCAGCCACATCCTCACCGAATGCCAAACATACCACAATACCCGAACCAGCCACAACCTGCCCGAATCACTCTCCGAAATATTAAGCAACCACCCTCAAGCCATAGTCAACATCATCAAATTCATCGCAGCCGCCAATCTTCAAACCAAAATTTAGCATAATTTAGATTTAGTAAATAATATTATGTATCTATAATCTCCTCTCTGTAAGCCCAATGGCCCATGTTGCCGAGGGTATAAATAAATAAAAAAAAAAAAAAATTTATTTTGTACCTACTAGACGTTTGCTCTGTGTGATTAAACAATTTACATCTATTCATATTATATTACAATTTATGCTTTAATAGTTGACTAAATAAATTAAAAAAAATATCAGTAGGGACTTCTAAAATGGTTGTAAATTGTAATATTTTTAATTGGAAATTGTAAAATTAAAAATTAATATTACTTACGGTTTTGGTTGTTCCGTGTTTGTCCTTGCGTCTAGCGTATAGGTACGACGTACGAAGGTTTTGTGAGCCCAGGCCCCAGGCGGCCAAGCTCCAAGACGCTATGGAATATTAGAATGCTATTTTCCACATTTCCAGCTACCTGCAACCCGACCTTTTTTTGTGTGTGGGTTTTATCGGCGTGTAGATATGAATATTTGTTCCGAGAAGTAAACTATATGTCTATATCCATCTATTTTATCTATCTATATATTATATATATAAATTAAATATAAATTTCCCTTGGACACGGCCGCGTCATCAACAGCTGGGCCGATTTCGTAAATTCTTTTTTTGCTCTGTTCGTATTTGGTAATTGTGAGGAGAAAGTTCGTATGTAAGAACATTTTAGGAAAATCCACCAGAAACAGTGGCGAACACACGATGGGGGGGGGGGGGGGTTGGTGTTAAAACCCTCCTCCCTTGGTATTTTTTTCACTATATTTAATTACGTAAAAATATATAATAAAAAATAATAAATTGAAAAAGAATTTAATAATTTTTTTTTCATTATATATCTTATCTTAACATATTATATAACAAAGTCCCTTTTTCACTCTATATGTTTAGATCTTTAAAACTACGCAATTGATTTTGATGTGGTTTTTTTTTAATTGATAGAGTGATTCAAGAGGAAGGTTTATATGTATATAACATAACATGCATAATATAGTAGAGAACCTTTTTTTGTATGTATACGGGAAAACTCGAAAAAACTCTACTTATAGGCTTTTTTTTTCATTTATTCTAAAATATATTTTTCAATTTTTTTTTTTTTTTTTTTTTTATCTTAAATAAACAACCCGGCATCTGTGGCCATTAGTTACAGCTATGATGGCAAAAAAGTTAATTACAATAGGGGTTCATTATGCTATCGTATTCTAATAACTAATAACTATGAAAAAATGAACATAATATTTAATTATTATTTATTTATTATTTTTTTTTATATATTTTGTACATAAAATATGTATATTTTTAGCTGTAATTATAAATTACTTTATTATTATTTCAGTGCTTTATTTGCTTTCAGCAACATGGAATATTATAATTATAACCATAACACAAACACAAAACCTTGCTATGCTTGAGAATATTATAGAAAATAATATAGATAACGCAAATAATATGATAAATATTGCAAGTTTTTTTAGTATTTCAAATTTGATTAATTGCTTGTACCTTTAACCTGCATAATATCATAACTAGTTATCAATGTTTATAGGATTTAAATAACTGCAATTCAATGACAATGCCAGTTTTCGAAGGGTACGAGTATCCTATAGACCAAATACAGCCATTATTTGATTTATTAAAATCATGGAATTTGGAGTGTCTATCTAAAACCGTACTTGGTAACTAAACTGTACCATTACTTATTGATATTTTGTTTATATACTTTAATATTAACATTATAAACTATACAATTTTCAAATATTTAGATCAAATGGTTGACATGAACATACTGGCCATTATGAAAAGAGATCATGCTAACGAAATGGTTAAAACATTTCCAATTGGAATTAAAGTTCGTTTTACCCACGAACTTGAAAATTGGCAAAAGTCGCTTGATCAGCAGCATGTTAATGCTTGTTTTTCACAAACAACTAACCACAATGAAATTACAAATAAAACATCAACTTTAAAATCCCTTCAACCATCATCACCTTTACAATTATCTTCTATAGATGTGACTTTTGATTTGGGAGACATATTAAAGTCAACAGCTACTGGAATGATGATAATTGATTATTATAAAACTCATGAAAAATAGAATAATAGTAAACGTACAATGTTAGTTGATTCAATTATCAGTCATGTAATAACTGAAAAAATACCTATGTCTATAAATCTTGCTGATAGCATTGGAACTTACATTATAGCTATGTTTCCTTCTGAAGTAAAAGTAAGATAATAATATAACTAGATTGTTGGTAAAAATGTTAAATTGTAAAAACTGGAATTAAATTCTATTACATTTTTGTTTTAGGATACATATTTTATGAAGGATGGACATAATAAAAACCCTAAAGGGAAATATTATGCCAAGTATTACAACTCAATGAGGACGCTTAAAACAAGTGGCATAGTACCTTGTAAGGAACAAGTAAAAACTGTAAAATTGGCCACTCAACGTAAACATGATAATGAATTTGGTAAAATATTTTTAAGAAACTACCTCCTAATCATAAAATATTGAATATATCAGGTGTTGAATATAATTATTTAATTATTTTAATAAAGATACAAATATTCATCAATTTGATTCTCAAATACAAATACTTTCAAGACAGTATTTAAATATATTTTACTCATATGCTTTACTAAACGAATTATATATGAATTATGAAGGTGTTTTAATGATTTATAGAACCCGAAGATGACATTAACTATATGATTGAACAAATACAGTTTGATACTAATTGTTCATTTCCTGAACTAGAAAAAATATGGAAAGCTACAACAAAATATCGCTTAAACAGTATAAAAAATTCAACTTCTACTGCTGAAATTATGAATAAATGGAAAAGCTACACTTTGCCACTTGGATACAGATTAGTAAGTTTTCATGCATAATCACAACAAAAGTATAATTATCTAAAAATTACCTTCATATTCTTTTAGATTGATATTGACTTCAGTACTCTATATCCAAGATGCTCAAATTCTGTATCACAGTTTGAAGAAAAATCTGAAAAAATAATGATGGTGCTTGACGACCAACTAAAAGATAATAATAGTCGTAAGCTTTTTGAAAATCTGTAGGAGTCTGCTTTGAATATTTGTGAAAGTAATGAAATACATTGCAACCCTAATTTAATATAATTGCAATTAAATATTTTTATTTGTCTGTAGATTTAAAATATACAGTCATATTTTATTTAATTCATGCTGTATTTGTTCCCACATCAAAAAAACTAACAAGAGACTCAGATGGTAAAAAAAATCAAATTATATACTCTATAAAAGATTCACAGAATAGTTTTATGGTATTCAAAAATACAGTTTGTGAAATTGAAGAACATATTAATAGTATACAAAATGATAGTAGTATATTTTAGCCGATTCTAAAACCTCATCCCTCATCCCTCACCCCCTCATCCTCATCACTCATCATACCGCCCGCATCCTCATCCGCCGCCGCCGCCGAACGATCATGACACCGCACCCGCATCCTCATCACTCATCACTCATCACACCGCCCACTGACGTGCGTGACTTATATTATTGTTATCACTGTTATCAGTGTTATCATATTTTTTCCGTTATCACACCGCCGCCGCCACCCGGGGAAAATAAGCTGAAAATTTTTTTCCGGACCGGGATTCGAACCCGAGTCCGTCGGTTTGGCCAGCGATCACCATACCACTGCGCCACCCCGACACATATACTGTATATTAAGAACTTGCCATATTTAACGGGTACATAAAACTGCAAAAGAAACATTTAATAATAGCTTGCAGCTGCGTATTAGGAGCCAATTAATGAAAGGATGGAATAGACATCCGTTCGCACGCTCACCGAACAATCAATAAATGACCTATAGTATATCGAATAGAAGATACCAATTAATGAAAAATACATTAACCCTAATAGCCTAATTATTGTCATTGCCAGGATGTCTTAATAGCCACCTTAATAATAGATTGCAGCTGCGCGTATTGTCATTAGTAGATCCGTTCGCACGCTCGCCGAACAATCAATAAATGACCTATAGTATATCGAATAGAAGATACCAATTAATGAAAAATACATTAACCCTAATAGCCTACTTATTGTCATAGCCAGGATGTCTTAATAGCCACCTCTAATAATAATACAAGTATCTGTCATATCGAAGAAGGGACAATTCACACGACTATTATACTATGCTGAAACAACTGGCACTTGTATTTAGTCCGTCTACTGCGTTAAACCAGTGTACACGTATATTTTTCTTGCTCTCTAAGATTTTTTTAAAACAGTTTATCTAATAGTGTTTAAAAATAATTTTAAACATGGCTGATTCTTTCACCAACAACGATGCCCTATACAAAAAGAAGAATTACACGTACGTTCCTCCGACACCACCTGCGGACCTCATCGACTGCAATAATTTTACACTTGACTTCACCGGCCGTAAGTTTTTGAATGTAGGACTTGATCCTACAGACGAATTCAATATCGTAGTCCAAATAATCACACCATCGCGGTATGTAAATATGCCAGCCGATTTTTTAAGACGTATATTCTCTCTGATGGGAAATATATTGTCATTTATTTTGGATCAACCGCAAAAATATAAGCGAAATTTATTTCTGGAAACCGAAATTATTTCGCTGTCTAGTATGGTGTATGGTGGAGAAAATGTGCTAGTAATAGAGTCAAAAACTCAGGACGGGTGCAGAGTACTGTTGAATCGCGTGGACCTAATACAGTTGCAATATTTGGAGCGGTGTATTTTCGAAACAGTCATTCGAAAGTCAAACATCATACGACCACTTGTCTTAAAACAGTTTGAGATTATGGGTAATTATTTGGACCAGGAATTTACCAAAGTTGATTTACCACCAAAGACACCCGAAGAAATGATCGTTTTTATCAAAAATTTAAGTGACGATAAAATTATTGAATAAAATCCTAAAGAAGACATGAATTTCATCAGTCAACTCAAAATGTATGCTTCATCTCAATTATCCGAACAGTGGGCGCAACGTTGGAGTGGAGAACCAGAGGTAAGTCTTTAAAACTTATTCAATCGGCAAAAATACAATACATATTTTTATTATTTTATAGTTTTTCACCGAATCTAAAATGAGGCTCATATCACCGCCTCAATACTCAGCCATGTCGCCATTGCATTATGACTCTGAAGACTGCTCACAAGCAAGGGTAATTTATAATTTATAAATTTAAAATAAACATAAGTATTAATTATAATAATTTTTATAGGGAGCTGACGAGGAGAATGGTATCAATGAATTTTTAATGCAAATCAACCCTACACAGGCGACATGGGCACCAACCAAGACATCGGTAATACTCACATTTAATTTTTAAAATAAATATATATTAACAAATTATTATTTGTTTAGCCTACCAGTCCACCATCGTTCGACTGTTTAGACAATTGTGGGCAGTACCCTCCATGGCATGATAAATACATCGAACCTCTACCAACGAGCCCTGCTGTTGACGAAAAAAACCACTCGCCATCTATTCTAAGTGGCAAGCCCGCGAAAAAACGGAACGCAAAACGCAAACTCTTTTTGAAATGATATTGTTTAAATAATTTTGTGTAAAATAAAAACAAGCGTGATATTTAAAACCAAGTTTTCTCATTTATTAGAAAATAAGGTACTAATTACAAGGTATAAAATATTTACAAGGTATAAAAATATTTATATATATAAGGTTTACAACTTTCTAACATCTCCGCTAAAGGGATTATAAGTTATAATCTGGTCATGTAGTATTAAACAATAAGCTGCAGTTTTTTCTGGAATAATTGTATCCGTTTCAAATTCAATTCGTAGGTCCACGGTCGATGATTTAACGTTGTCGTCCTGGTGTGACAAATCAACAACGATGATTGGAACATAATTTTGAAAAATATGTTTTGATAATAATGGTTCACAATAATCTCTTTCGTAATACGATTTTTGAAAGTCTGTATAAGCTTTATAGAGTATGCTGGTGGTATTATTTTTAAAATCAGCGCGAAAGTCTTCATACGGGAACACTTCAGAGTTTAAGTGAACCTTAAGATTTTTTAGTTGACAGTGATCGAATCGACCAGTGTCGTTTTCGATATTTTTTTTTCGATCTGTTTGTAATCCAAACAGCACAAATCTCGGCTTTTCGAGCAAAAGCTGCTAGACTTTACTGTCCACGAATGAGAAGTATTTCTAGGGAGCACAGGATACTCACAGAGATCCCAGGTTCTGAACGCACACGATAACGTTTTACGAGAATCTAATACTTTCAATAACTTTAATTTTTCTTTATCACTGACTTTGATAATGGGCATCTTCCAGGTCACCTTAGTCAGTCCAATTGTAATTTTTTTATTTTTATCAACGGCTTTGGTTGCACCCTCGCCAACAACGTGTATCGCATCCAGGTCGGTAGATGCACGATTTAAAATCAGTTGCTGATTACAATTAATTAATATTTTTTTATAGTCTTCACAAAATCCGAATAAATGTTTTAGAGGGATACACCCGGCAAATACATCGTTGCTCATAAAATTTTTATTATCTTCAGTATCCATTGCCGAGTCCCAAGCCGCATTCTCTAACGCATTCAAATCGTTTGGAGTATACGAGCAGTATGCTTTCAAGCATGAAGACACTCCAGGTGATTTCAATTTTTGTATTTCTACTCCGTTTATTTCATATCGCATCTCGGAGAATAAAAATGCCAATCCGTTATTTGAAAAACGAACATCTCCAACTGCATCGTTAGGTTTATTTATTTTCCCCTCAATGTAAATATAACTCTCACATGGTAAAGTGTAAGAATCCATGTTTTGAATATTAATTCTAATTTCTTCATTGTATGATAGAGCGGTGCTTGAATACGGTGTGAACGAATGGTAACTCTTTTGAGTTATTTTACAATCGTCGACATAGTCGGCCGTCACGTCTAAATATGAGTCATCCATCATTGTAACGAACGAAGAAAATTTAAATTATTTTTCGTGAGCTTGATATTTTTCGGTTTAGATGTAGACTTCTTAACGGCAGGCGGTATACTGATAGGTTTTTTGACTGTAGCTCTTTTTATATTAAATTTGAGTGCCATATCAACGCGTTATTTGTAAACGAATTGTTATCAGTTCACCACGCAGATTAATCAGACAATCGTTCTGATCTTTTAGCACGATATTTACTTTAGTTATTGAAGTCGTGTTGAGACCGTAAAAAACTGGATGTCTAGGTACCTCAACGATTTTATATCCCGCAGGTACAGTAGGATAAAGCTCGTGTATGATCTGGCTCGAGGCTCCGTCACAGAATGAGCCGGTGATTAAGTTGCACTCTACTTTTATACAGTTTATTTTCATTATGTTGACAATATTTTCAGATTCATGAGTAGCACCAGTAGTGTATAGTACATTTCTAAAACCTAGCAATTTTGCTATGCTATTCTCGACTCCTAAATCAACGCCATGGCTGCACGATATCATACACTTTAATGTTCTGCTGTTTGCTTTTAATTCAAACATACTGACATACTCAGGCATCATATTTTGTATAATAGACTCTAACTGATTCAACTCATATGTTCCCGTAGGTATAATTACGTACTCATTTTCATTGATCAAATTACGGAAGGCAATAGTATTGCAGCCAGGCTCGATGTTTGGTATAGAATTATTCGTCTGTAAGCTCAAAAGACATATCTGTGCAGTATTTTCTACTTCCAATGGTGGAAAGATCTCGCATGACAACTCACTAGAGTTTCCGTTTAACGTTAATGTGAACATGATAAAAATTTTAAACACAAGTGCCCACAGTTTGTAGTATTATATTTCTGCTCTCTGCTGTAATTGAAATGTATGTCACATCCGTGAAAATATTGTTGTACTTCTAATGGTGGAGGTAAATTCCCAAAACTGTCGTAATATTCGACTTTTTTTCCGATTTTTTTATACGCTACCCAATGCGTTCCAGTACCGTTTTCTGTATCCAAGTTAATAATCGCTGATTCTTGTCGCTTAGGACGTGTAGATAACCTATCTCTGGTAAACACTCCGATGAAATGAGGTATTTTCATCATGC